ATATGAGCCACCAGTGCCCAGCAAGAAATAATGTAAGTAGTCAGTGTATCTTTGTTTTATTTTCTTTGGTGATACTGAGGCTTGAACTTAGGGCTTTGAGCATGCTACCACACATTTTCTACCACTTACACCCCATCCCTAATTCTTCTTGCCTTTATTTATGTTCAGATAGGATCTTGTGATTTTTTTTTTCTTTTTAGCCTAGACTGACCCAGACAATAATCCTCCTACTTGTATCTGATAGTTGAGATTACAAGCATATACCTGCTTTTCTTTGAGGTAAGGTCTTGTTAACTTTTTTGTCCTAGTGGCCTCAGAGTAGGATCTTCCTGATCCTTGCCTCCCAAGTATCTGTGATTACAGGAATGAGCCATTGCCCCTGGCTTCTGTTTAGTTGTCCACCATTCCTTTTTGGTTAGATGAAAAATTTCTTTCAACGTTCCCACATTCTCTAAGCACTAACCACGCTATGCATTAGGCCCTGGATCTTCTGCTATGCATGTGCTCTAGACCCTTGCTCCAAAGAATATTCAATCTAACCATTCATTGTCAATGTCAGTTTTTTTTTTATGCCAGACAATGTTTTTGTGATGTTATTTGAGGTGTAATGACCCAAAGTATCTTATTTACTAAAATTGTCACACAATCCATCCAGGCTTGTGTTTGAAAAGCAGAGCTGTTTAAGCCATGCATGGACAAAATGAAACTCTAGTACTTTAGAGTTAAATGTGAAACAATAAAGATTCTAGATGAAAATGTAGACTATTGGCATGTTTGAACGTAGGCAAAGATTTTGAAATAAGATCCCAAATGTATTCACCACAAAGGATTGACAAAATGGACTATATTAACCTAAAGAATATTTCAATCTATTACAAAATACTAATAAGAAAATGATGTCTATGGAAAGGGAGAAAATGTAACACAAAATGTTGTAATTAAAAAAGACATGTATGTAGACAACATAAAGAACGTGTACAAATCCAATGAGAAAGGTAGAGTATCCAATGGAAGTATGTGAATTAGATTTTAATAAGCACTTCACCAAAGAGGATGTGGGTTGTCTTGTTTGGGATAGTGATTAGGAGGAGGCGTATGGGACTTCTAGAATTGTGGTAATAATATTGGTTATTTGGCAGTGTTTAGTTTGTGAGAATCCCTCAGTTACAATCTGTGTATATCTTTTCTGTAGCATGTATATTGTATTTTCTTTTTTGTATTTTCCTTGAAAAACATTGACATAAAATTCCTGGTTTTATCTGGGTACCAGTAGCTCACACCTGTAATTCTAGCTACTCAAGAGGGTGAGATCTGAGACTCTAATTTGTAATTAGCCAGCAAAAGGCCAGAAATGGGAGTCGTAGCTCAAGTGGTAGAATACCAGCCTTGAATAGAAAAAGCTAAGCAAGAGTTTAAACCCTGTACTGGCGTACCCCCACCCCTTGTTGTGCAGGATGAGGAATGTATGAAAAGTATTTTCAAGAGTTCACACTGCTGGCATAATGCACCTCATCATTTAGCGTTGTCTCTCGTATGAATGCAGAGGAGCGGCAAGAGCATAGGGCTTGAGCTAGTGTGAGGTTGTAGTCACCAATATAGTGAGAAGGGTGAAGGAGAAGCACTAGGAAGCTTGATTAACTAGATTATGATTAACTAGGTTTATAATCCTATTTTAAGCCACTGTTTATTTGATTTATTTTATTCTAAAGCAGACAGAGCAACTTTATTGCAAGTGAAAAGAAAGTGGTGAAACAGACTCTGTGGAGAAGGATCCCAGAGCTTAGTCCAATGGAGTCCTCCTGGAGAGTGGTCTTTATAAGGCGAGGGTTCCTCCCACATCTCTTCCCCTGGGCATTGCACTGATTGCTTGATGGCTTGGGTATGTGTTGCCCTGGCTCTTTTCATTGGTTGAATGGGAGGGAACCTAGGGCAATATGGGAAGAATGTGCATTTGAGTAGGAATCCAAGAATTCCACAACATATGCATCCCTCCATCATGTGGCCAGGTACTGAGACAGAGACTTGAAATCTTTGTCACCACCAGGGAGGTTCAGACTATTATCTGAATTTACAGATGAAAGCACTGGAGCTTTGAGATATTTAACAACTTTCATTAATTCTAGCTAGGAAATAGCAGGAGGCTTCAACTGGAACTCATGGTCTATGTGATTTGAAGGCCCATCCTCTTAACATAATTGCTAATTGCTGCTTTATTTTTAAAATCCAATTACATAACGAGGAGATGAAAAGTGCTTCATGTGTGCAATGTTCAAATTTGGTAATCAGTAGAACTTCTCAAACTGGTTTTAATGTCTGTGTTTTGCTATACTATAGGTGTGTGTGTGTGTGTGTGTGTGTGTGTGTGTGTGTGTGTGTTGGTATTGGTGCTTGAATTTAGGGCCTGAGCTCTGTCCATTAGCTTTTATTTTATTTTATTTATTTATTTTTGCTTAAGGCAGTACTTTACTACTTGAGACATAGTTTTACTTCTGACTTTTTGGTGATTAATTGGAGCATCGTGTGAGCTTTTCTCTCAGCTTGACTTCAAATCTCAGTCCTCATATCTCAGCCTCCTGAGTGAGTAGGATTACAGGCATGAGCAATTAGCATTTGGCTGCACCATAGGTTTTTGTGAATAGGCATTCCTTCTCAATTATATCATGGTGCAGGGTGGGAGGAGGGGGCTGCATAATTCTCCACGGAACAACCCACGCTATGGCCTGGATGGGTGACCCATATGTCCTTCTCAACACTTTTGGGACATTTTAATAACCCCACTAATTGCCTATGGTTGGCAGACATTTTTCCCTGCTTATTAATGACTCTCCACACTCAATTTTGTTCCTCTTACACTGCGTCACATGCAGAGATATAGAAAATGGATGCTGCTGATGGATGGCTTCCTCATTGTCTGCATAGCAATGCTTTCTTGCCTCCCTGGATACAGGGAAAGGGGGAGAAAATGGGAAGCAGGGGATGTGATAAGAAGCTTGTGATAAATGAATCTGTTTCAGAAGCTGAATTCTGGTATAGAAATCATGGTTTTGCCATCTGTTGATTATTGATATTTGTACAAGCTTATGATTTGGGGATTGTCCTACTTCGCATATACAAAGGCTTTTTTCCCCTTTCTTGTGATGCACAGCATGACTTGGGAGGTTACACAGGTATATATTGAACATTTTTAGTTCTTTTTACCCCGGTGGCTTGTCTTTTGATTGTCAGGGCACTCATGTTTGAAGTGCCCTGAGTGTTTATAGCACTATATCCCGAAATGAAATTTGGGTTATTTACTTCTAAATGTATCTCCTCAACAGTCTAATAGCTGTAATGACTGCATAAGGATTATAGCAAAAAGGTATAGGATCTGATTTGAATGGAAATATGTGTGAATATACTTTTAGGGCTTTCTGTTTACTTAAAAAAGAATCTTCTTTCTTTAGCCCTGGGGCTACTTATCTTGCTGTGATGATAAATAAGAAAGAAACACCAAACATGCTGAAATAATTGAAAATGCCCACATGCAACCCAACCATCTAGTTATATAGACTTGCTTCTTTGTGTGTGTGTGTGTGTGTGTGTGTGTGTGTGTGTGTGTGTGTGTATGCGCACGCGCACATACACACATGTGCATGTCTGCCTGTCCTGGGGATTGAACTCAGGGCCCGAGCTCTATTCCTGAGCTTATTTTTTGCTCAAGACTAGTTCTCTACCACATGAGCCACAGCTCACTTCCGGATTTGCAGTGATTGATCAGAGATAAGAGTCTAGTGGACTTTACTGCCTTGGCTGGCTTTGAACCTCAGTCTTCAGATCTCAGCCTCCTCAATGGCTAGAATTACAGGCATGAACTATCAGTGCTGGACTTGCTTTCTGTATAGATTCTTATTGAAAAAAAAACTGGACAGGTACTCTGGGTTGCTTTTTAAAAAATAATGTAGATTCTTTAGGGAATGTGTAATTATTTATCAATTTGATTAGGATTATACCTTGGGTCTCGAAGCTATCCAGAGAACTGTAGGAACATCTGGTGCACTATGGTTTTGGAGCCTGCTAGGTTGTTTCCCCAAGTACTTTGACAACAGCAGTTTGACATAGTTGGAATTGGCAGTGCCAGGGCTGCAGTCACCATGTTTACCTTCATGCTGGTGAAACAATTCTCCACTACGTTCAAGTCAAGGTTCTCTCTCTCTCTCTCTCTGTCTCTCTCTGTCTCTCTCTCTCTCTCTCTCTCTCTCTCTCTCCCTCCCTCCCTCCCTTGAAGAGGTTTGAGTCTTGACTTTTATTCCCTATTTAATGAGTGACAGCTGCCATTTCTGACCTTCAACCAGTATTATTAGTGACTCCATCAATAGAAAATCATTTTCCACCTGGTCTCAGTGACCATATTATACACATAGCCTCATTTGTATGGCCAGGCTTTGCATGTGTAAATGGGCAAGTTTTCAGGCAATTTGGGTAAGCCTTTCAATCTCCCCTCTCCATTTCCTGTCTTAACTACTTCCACATTCACAGTGTGTTTGTGCAACATTGAAGAAAAATTCTAATGGGAAATTTCTTCCAGGTGACCTCTCCAAGAGGCTGGACGGTGAAGAAATCTTAAGAAACGCGACCTTGACAAAATTGCCTCTGTTGAGAATATTACTTGGTACAGAAACAAGAGATCAAATTCAGTTATTTTTGGTTCTTGAATAAATGAATTCTACTTCCTTTTGTATAGGTGGCAGAAAAAATTGACCCCTGAAGAAGATCTAGTTTCAGCTGGAAATTGAACTTTGGGGATTCTTTTGAGCTAAGAGAGTACCAGATAAGAGAATGTGAATCTGTTTTTATTGGGACCTTAGTTTTGCTTTCTGCATATCTTTTACAGATCTGTGTTTTCCAGGATTGTCTGTCTTTACATTTAGTTTTCTGCAGGCTGGAATGATGGTTATTGACTAATCTCCACTTGGATACTACATGGGGGCCAACACTAATGAATCCTTTCTTAACTTTCCCAGCACTTTTGGAGAAGTCAATCAGTAGAAGACGGGACATTGAAGCCATACAGAAAGCCAAAATTCTTTATTCATCTTGCATGAATGAGAGTGAGTAATATTGAAAATAAATAAAAGATTCATTCCCTTTATCCTTCAGGATTCTGCTAATGTTTAAAGGTACTGTTTAAGGGAGAGAGAAGTAAAAATTCTGTGAATGTTTTAAAGATGTTATTTAGAGAGATGAATCATTCTCCAAGACTGGACTTGGATTATTCTTTGTCTGTCATTACCTTGATGGACCAAATAATCTTATTTCTATGACTGGGATTGTTTGGGTATCAGTTTCTCAAAGAGAAACTTGAGCAGGAAAATTCCTATTTTACTCAGCAAAAAAAGGCAAACCAGTTCTGGTCTGAGAGAGGCTGGGAGGGAGTATAGTTAGAAAAATTGATATTTTCCCAAGGATTTACTGGATTCTAGAGAAATCAAGATTCTCAGGTGTGCTTGGCTGTTATCAGTTTAACCAGCATCATTGTGGGGAAACTCTCAGATCTCCTTTCTGAAGACTGTTGTAGGAAGAAGCCAATGTTTCTGAAAAGTATGCTAACTAGTCTGGGATTTGGATGTGTCATTTGGTCAGCTAGAAGAAGGCAATAATGACCAGAATCTAAAGCATTAGTTTCTTTCATTGAGGGAATGATAGGCTTTTCTGAGTCATTTTTAAAAGACAATTTAGGGTTGTCCCTTGTGGCCACCAAGGAGTTTCATTCCATTCATTGACTTGGGTCAATACAGTGAGCCCATCCTCTCGCTTTCTTGGTGAAAAACAGATTTAGATGATCGCATGGATGTGTGAGTCATAGTCTGTCTCTATGATTAGGTTCGACCCAACCCACTCTTCTACCTTCTCCTTATACAGCAAACATTTCTAGTTGGGGCCATATGGGAATTTTCTGTGGAGTAGATATTCTTGCATCCTACTCCAGTCTGTAATTCGAACTCACCCTTCCTACTCTCTTTCAGAAGCGATTGAAAAAGCAGGTGCCAAGCCATTGCTCCACATCCTGCGACATTCACCTTTCCGCTGGCCTGTGCTTGAAGCAAATATTGGTCCTGAAGGAGTTTGGTCAGAGAGAAAATTCAGCCTGCTGCAGACACTTGCAACGTTCCGGGGTCAATATAGCAATTCAGTGTTTATCCGTTTGTATGTGTCGCCTGATGACAAGGCATCCAATGAACACATCTTGAAGGTATAGCCAAGGTTCTTTCTTCTATTTGAGATTTGTCCTTTGGGGTATCTTCCTAGGGAGACATTCATGTTGCTCTTTTTGAGTGAGAAGGTAAAAAAATATCTGCTCAATCTTAAGATCTTGAATGCACCACTCTGTAAGATTTGGAGAATGTAAATTATTAGGACACAACTTCTGCCAACCTTCAGGAAGCCTGTGAGTGAATTTCAAGTTGATCTTTATTCTCACTCTCCCATGCCTACTTTGAACATGTAGGAGGTCCCTAAACTCCAGTGGGGAAAGGCTGTGGGTCTTTTGCAGTTATGAAAGATGTTCAGAACTCCACTCTTTCCCTCACTTCCTCATTCTCCGGATAAGGGAGAGAATACACATAGCATTCCTTGTTCACTTTCTATGAATGTATAGTTTATTAATACATTTATATATGTATTTAGTGCTGGTACTGTGGCTTGAACTCAGGGCCTTGTGCTCTTGTTTATTTACTTAATTTTTTGTTCAAGGCTGGCACTCTACCACTTGGGCCACACCTCTATTTCTGGCTTTTTACTGGTTAATTGGAGCTAAGACTCTCAGGGATTTGTCTGCCTGGGCTGATTTTGAATTTTGATCCTCAGATCTCAGCCTCCTGAGTATCTAGGATTATGGGTGCAAGTCACTAGTGCTTGATTGTGATCATCTTCTTTCATAAACAATCAAATCCTCATTGGATAATTTAGTCTGGGTCTCTTTCAATTTAGTCTGAGTTTTTTCAGTTTGGAATACCAAACTTTCAAGTACTTGGTTGCATTTCGTACTGGGAGAATAAGCATTTCTTTGATAAAAGACAGATGCAAGTTGTATGTGCCCTGATTTTGCTAGGCAAAATTACCAACAACAAAAGATTCACCAATGAAAGAGCCTCGTAAGAATTCAAATAACATTTCTCAAATAAATTTTGTAATTTTGTACCTTGATCCTGCCAGGCTTGTTTCTCCATCAATAATTACAATAAATAATAATAATAGAGCTATTGAACACTAAATATTTCCTTTAATTCTGTCCTTTGTGAAACCAGAAAATATTAATGATATAGTGACATTCAAATGTAGAAGAATAAAAGCTATTAGAGTAAAATACTCTCACCCCAACTAAGTCAAACTTCCAAAATCCAAAGCAGAATTTGTGTGTGTGTGTGTGTGTGTGTGTGTGTGTGCGTGTGTGTGTGTGTGTGCATGCCCATCCTGTGGCTTGAACTCAAGGCCTGAGCACTGTTTCTGAGCTTTTTGTTTTGCTCAAGGCTAGTACTCTACCACTTGAGCCATAGCTTCACTTCTGTTTTTTTGGTGCTTAGTTGGAGATAAGAGTTTCATGGATTTTCCTGTTGGGGATGGCTTTGAACTGTGATCCTCAGATCTCAGTTTCCTGAGTAGCTAGAATTACAGGCATAAGCCACTGGCACTGGACTTACACAGGGTTTTACAAATTTGGTGGAGAGGGCTGGGAAGGTGGCTCAGTGGTAGCGCTTGCCTTGCATGCTCGAGGCCCTGGGTTCGATTCCTCAGCACCACATAAGCAAAAAGAAAAAAGCCGGAAGTGGCACTGTGGCTCAAGTGGTAGAGCGCTAGCCTTGAGCTGAAGAGCTGAGGAACAGTGTCCAGGCCGAGTTCAGGCCCCATGACTGGACCCCCCCCCCAAAAAAAAAAACAATTTTGGTGGAGATAATATAATTAGAAATTATCATAAAAATCCCTGATGAAGTGAAAGGTTTAGGCAAGTATCATCTATAAATGATAAAATTATTAGGTGAAAATTTGATTGGGAAATTCATGATAGAGAGATGAAACTGATATCACTCAATGGTAGCATTGTCCAAAATGGACAACCAGATGACGTGTTCCTCTATATCAATCAGAAGTGCACACCAGGGGCTGGGGGTTTAGCCCAGTGGAAGGGCGCCCGCCCGGCACGTGCAAGGCCCTGGGTTTGGTCCTCAGCCCTGGAAAAAAAAAAAGAAGTGCACACCATCAGCAAGGATGCTGTGTCAAAAAAGCAATTTAACAAAGTATCTAGCTTTAACAGAAATTTATAAAAAAATACTCAAAACAGAGAAGCATGGTAACAGCTTGCTTGCACACTTAATATTCAATTACACTAATGCTAGACATACTAAACTGTCAATAACAGACTACTTTCCAAATGTAAGGAGGCACTTGTGTCCTTAGTGCTCTTCTTTGCCAGGATGGCAGCTTGTTACAAACTGAAGTGCTTGGCATTTGAGGATGGCACATGTCTATTTTAGTTTTGGCCCTGTTTACACCATAATAGATGAGCAAATACTCACAAGTCTGAATTAACCACCTTTCCTGAAACAAAATACAGCCACAGTGTTCCCAATTATGATACAGTTACAAGTGTAAGTGTGTGTCTACAGATGGCAGGAAAAACTTTATTCGGAGACAAATGAATCTGACAGCGAAGAGCAGAACAGTGGTGACTGCCAAAATTGTACAATTTGTGTGTATGTTGCTTTTTGTTTAGAGATCATCATGCTAAGTGAAATAAGCCAGTCGCACAAAGTCTCCATGTTTTCTCTCATTTGTGGACACTGAGATGGAGGAACCATAAAAGAAAAATGGGGGCTACTAGAGAGATGAAAGAAGAGAAAAGAGGGAGCAAGGAGGGATAAGAAAATGTAATAGAAGGGGTGAATGTGACCAAAGTATATGCATTAAAATATCATGGTGAAACTCCTTATTTTATACAATTAATATATATAAAAATTAAATATTACAACTTTAAAATAGAATTAACTGAAAATTTGGAGACCTTTTAGGGTTTGGGGTGTGTGTGTGTGTGTGTGTGTGTGTGTGTGTGTGTGTGTGTGTGTGTGTGTGTGTGTGTGTGTGTGTGTGTGTGTGTATGTGTGCGCCAGTACTAATACTGTCCCTTAGCTTTTATGTTCAAAGCTGGCACTCTACCATTTGAGCCACATCTCCATTTCCAGCCTTTTGATGGTTCATTGGAGAAAAGAGTCACATGAACTTTTCTGCCCAGGCTGGCTTTGAACCATGCTTCTCAGATATCAGCTTCTTTCAGGTTTTGAGGAGCATAGTTTGCAACTATCGGTAGACTTTGTGATTTACTTAGTATCCTAGTACAGATGGCTTCACCACTCTGAATCTCATTTTCCCCATGTGTAAGGAAGGGCAGATTCGAATTTCTTGTCCACTGTTGCTGTGAGGTTTAAGTGGCTTGACTTTTCTGAGTTTCTAACATAGATGCTGGTCTATAGTGACACATGGAAACTCTCCTTGCTTGAAGCATGACCTAGAATCTGGTTTGGATCATTTTGACAAAAGCTGCTTCTCTGTGTACCTACTGTGCCTGAGATATCTTGTTTGGGTGTGCAAAAATCAGACACTTTCTGGGCTGGGAAGGTGGCTCAGTGGTAGAGCGCTTGCCTTGCATGCCTGAAGCCCTGGGTTCGATTCCTCAGCACCACATAAGCAAAAACAAAAAAGCTGGAAGTGGCGCTGTGGCTCAAGTGGTAGAGTGCTAGCCTTGAGCTGAAGAGCTGAGGGACAGCGCCCAGGCCCAGAGTTCAGGCCCCACGACAGGACCAAAAAAAAAAAAATCAGACACTTTCTTTAGTCAATGTAGTCTTTGACCGTTAACTTCCACCCTACCTTTTGCTGGAAAAATGAATATTGGTCTAGGTATTCCCCATGCCTTATTAGCAGCTCCATTTTTCAACCTTCATCTGAAGAAATAAAACCCCACTATGGAACTCATATGGACTTGTCAGGTATGTTTCTATGGTCTGTGGTCCTGGGCCTCTTCTCCCTTTCAGATGTTGCTACATTTCATGGTATCAGCTGATCTCTATCCTCATGGGAACCACTGACTTCTTTTACTGTCTGGGAGTGCCTCTCTGCTCCAGGAAAAAGCTCTCTCACTCAAACTCTCTTCTTTCAAAGTGTTTTTCCCACTAAATACTATTTTCTTGGATTCCCCACTTTTTGATTCCCACAAACCCACAGGAATACTAAAAAGGCCTCCTTCTGGGCAGACCCACTTCTGTGTTCACTGTCGAGTGAACAAATGGCATCTCTGGGTGAAGAGTACAAGACTCTTTCTAATGGGCAGATATGTCATCATGCCACAAATATGCAGTTTAACATGCACAAATGGCCTTCAGTAGTTTCCCCATGGCAATTTGACACATGATTTGTATAGCCTTGAGTGGGAGACAGGATATTAAAAACACAGAAGAATGACAAAAGTGAGCCCTCTGAAACATTATCTTGCTCCATGTAGTTGGGTTTGTTTTATGCATGGAGATAGCAAGAATGATTTAAGGGACAAGAAAAGGCTTTCCTACGCAGTCCTGAAAGACTGGAAGACCAGGGTCATCCTAGTATACAACAACTTAAAGCCACCCTTACTTAGGGGTCTACATTTGATTGGCTCTTGAAGATTTTCATGATGATGAGGGGAAACTCTCTTGGATATGAGGTTTCTGTAATTGTGTGTGTGGGAGGGTATCAGGGCTTGAACTCAAGGCGTATGTATTTTTCCTTAGCTTTTTTCTTTGCTCAAGGCTGGCTCTCTACCACTTGGGTCACAGCTCTACTTCTGGCTTTTTAGAGTTAAGAGTCTCATAGACTTCCCTTCCCAGCTTGGCTTCAAACCCTGCTTTTCAGAGCACAGCTTCTTGAAAAGCTTGCATTACAGGCGTGAGCTACTGGCACCAGGCAAGTTCCTTCAATTTCTTTATCTTTCATTTTCTTACATCACAATTTGTCAGGTGTTTCTTATTGTACTACTACTTTCTCTCATAATACAAAGTTCATTGTAAGTGGAGTAGCCATTGTAATTGGAAAAAATGCATATTCATTTCAGTATATCATATTTCTTAGTATCACATTTCCCTCCATTACCTAGCATCCCAAATTCTGGGATTAAAATTTTATTTTATGTTCTACTTCTAATATTTAGATCAGTTTTAAGTTTAAGGATTAAAACAAAACAAAACTTTAAATAACACAGTGTCCTGGTGTGTTGGCTTCTTAAGAAAGACCTCGCCTCAGGAACTTGAATATTTCTAACGAGATTTAGTTGACTGATCTTATCCAATCCATTTGAGTATTTAAAATGTTCCTTAGAAACTATAACAATCTGAAGGTTTATGAGAGGGCTGGTAACTTCACTTGAGTTATCCAAACTTTTGCCATAAGTGGGTTTAACTTCATTTCATGAGAGGAAACTTTGGCTTTCTTGATATTATCTGCACAATCTCCTTTCCTATGAGACCAAAGCTCACAAGAGTCATCAAGTGGTCCAACGTTAACTGAAAGCCAAAGCATCTTAATCAAAATATTTTGTTTCATGATCCTAGCTTACTTAATTTTTGGAAGAAACGATGGTAGATTGGGAATTGCAGTAGAATAAAGCCAGGCTGACTGAAACTGCCTGAGTCTTGGTTATTTCAGGCCGATTAGAGAAGAAGATCAAAGAAAATAATTTGAGGATTTTAGCAGTTCACATAGACAAAATAATTTTGTGTGAATGAGTACATGTGCATATACCTCTCTGTGTGTGTGTGTGTGTGTGTGTGTGTGTGTGTGTGTGTGTGTGTGAACTCAGGTTAGGTGCTGTCCCTTAGCCTTTTCATTCAAGGCCGATGTTCTATCACTTGCATGACAGGTCTATTTCCAGGTTGTGGTTATTTATTATTATTTGTTTGCTGGTTAATTGGCGATAAGTCTCACAGACTTTTTATAAGATTTACTTTATTGTAAAGATGCTGTACGGAGGAGTTACAATTACATGAGTAAGGTGATGAGTACATTTCTTGTTGAGCAGTGTTACTTCCTTTGTTCTCCCACTATCCCTTCTCTCCCTACCTCTCTCACTCCTCTTCCCACAAGTTGTAAAGTGCATTTCCAATATAGTATCTTGTGGGTCTCATTGTTGCAATGGGTCATCCTGTGCCCTTGTGTAAACATTTTGTTATTCCCTTTCCCTTCCCCGAATTAGACAAATGTATATACAAGATGCAGGGTACCAAAATCAAATACAGTGACAACAAGGGATGTACCATAGGGGGAAGGACATACAAAGGAAACAAACAAATTACATAGTACATTAGAAACAACAACAAAGAAAGACCTCTTGTGTCCATATCTTGGGGTTCATTTCACTTAGCATCATCTTATATGATCATATGTACATAGCTTTTGAGCTTTTCTGCTCATCTCACAGACTTTTTTTTTCACCCTGGATGGTTTCGAACAATGGTCCTCAGATCTCAGCCTCCCGAGGAGTTAGGATTATAAGTGTGAGCACCAATCCTTAGCAGTTTTTTTTAATTATTATTTTTTGCTACTAGTAGGATTTCAACTCAGGATGTTAGCCAGACACTCTATCACTTGAACCATATCTCTAGTCCTAAAATAAATGTTTTGAAAACATTTCCTCTGAAACAATAGCAGTGTTTTCCCTTGAACTTTCCATAACCATACTAATAGTTGATTTGAACTTTTATAGCACCTGATGCATGTGAAAGGGATTTTCATGGAAAATGAGAATTTTGTGAAGTCTTCATCTATTAAAACGTAGTACAGTATTTGAGATTATAGTAAGATGGAGAAGGAGCCAGAGGGAAATGGATCAATAAATTTTTCAGTATATTCTCAGCCCCTGCTGAAAATTTTGAAAATCATACAAACTAATGGTATGAACATATATAGGTTGCACAGAAGCCAATAATTTGTTGCTTGTTATTTTGATTTTCTGTATTGATAATTTGGATGAACTTTTTAATTTGTGACTCAGAGACTTAAATCTGTTGGTGAGATTTATTCAGTCTTTAGACACTTGCTGATATTCAAGAAAGAACAAGTAATGGAGTTATTCATTTTTGTCTGTACTGGGACTTGAATTTAGATTTTTCACTGAAGGCTTGGGCTCTATCATTTGAGATACACCTTCACTTCTGCCTTCTTGGTGGTTAATTGGAGATAAGAATCTCACAGATTTTTTTTTTCTGCCTGGGCTGGCTTTGAATTGTGATCCTTAGATCTCAGTTCTTTGGTTAGCTAGGATTACATGAGTGAGCTAGTGGTACTGGATTATTTCTAAGTTTTGATAAATTAATGCATTCATCTAATAATCAATAAATAGAATAGTTTCATCACATCCTAAATTACCTACTATTGTCCCTCTACTGTTAACTCCCATCCTCAAAATAGCAACCATTACTCTGTTTTCCCTTTAGTTTTGCCTTTTCAAAGATGCAAGTAAAATTCACCCACGTGGATGAATGTATCATCAGTAGTCCATTCCTTCTGATTGCTGAGTAGTTTTTCATTGTGCATCACAGTTTATCCATTTGTACATTGTGGGAGATTTGGTTCACTTCCTACTTTTGATGATTATGACTCAACTTAACCATAGGTTTTGGTTTGAACATAACTTTTTATTTCATATTCTTGAGTAAAAGTATAACAGTGGGATTGATGAGTCATAGGTAAATATATCAGATAGGTTGAACATATTTTCATGTGCTTATTTTCCCTCTGTGTATCTTCCTTGCTGAAGAATTAGTTTGGATACTTTGATCACTTTTAAATTATTTTCTTATTGTTAAGTTTTGAGTGTTCTTTATATATTTTGAATGTAAGTTCTTTATCATACATATATATATTATTTTCAAATGTGTTCCCATTCTGTGACTTCTCTACATGCTTTTAATGTCTTTCACAGAACATGACTTTTAAAGGTTAATGAAGTCCAATTTATTAACTTTTTCTTTTATAGGTTGTGATTTCAGTTTTGTGTCTAAAAATGCTTTATAACACAAGCCCACAAAGTGTTTCTCCTATATTTTGCTTTGGAAGTTTTATAGTTTTAGGTCTACAATCCATTTTTTTGGGGGGGTCCGGTCATGGGACCTGAACTCTGGGCCTGAGTGCTGTCCCTCAGCTCTTCAGCTCAAGGCTAGCGCTCTACCACTTGAGCCACAGCACCGCTTCTGGCTTTTTTTTTGCTTATATGGTACTGAGGAATCGAACCCAGGGCCTCATGCATGCAAGGCAAGCACTCTACCACTGAGCCACCTTCCCTGCCCCTACAATCCATTTTTTATTCAAGGTGGAAGGTAGGGGTCAAGTTTCAGTTGTTTTGCATAAATTTTTTCTAGCATATGTTCTGAACAAATTGTTTTATTTCCTTTGGTTTGCTTTGTAGTTCTGAAAGTTGTATTCCAAGAACTTATACTATATTTATCCATCATTATTACTTTACTTATTTAGTTGTCTGATCATTATCTATGTTTTGATCACCTCTCCTAAACTTTGCAGAGATGGCCCAAAATTTGCAGATTTCTCAAAACAAATCCATTACTTTTGGATGAAAGAGACATTATTTAGAGGTGTTAAGGTAGAGAATGTGATTAATCAACTCCATCCAGATTGGTATTTGTACAATAATGCAGAGATCTGGATATCGGATCTAGTATTGCACTCTGAGCTTTTCCCAACCATATTGGATTGGGAAAGTTGCATCAGTTTTCTGGCTATAATCTCTAAGATCTACCCCAATTCAATTAGCCTTGATGCTAATCAGTGTCAACAGAACCGCAACTGTGAAACGATGAATCAGCAAAGCAAGGACAGGTCTCCAATTCTTTAAATCAGTCATCACCAAAGTACCTATTTCCAGGTAGTTTTTGTAATGGTGACAGAGCCCAAAATATGTCTGGGATGCAGACGCTTTCAGAACTCTTCTTCATATGGTACATAAGATTTTCTAATGCTGTAGCATGCTTTCTGTTTTTATTTAACAGCTGGACCAAGCAACACTCTCTCTAGCTGTGAGGGAAGATTACCTTGATAACAGCACGGAAGCCAAGTCTGTAAGTTTTACTCATATTCATCTCTGGGCCTTGTTAGGCTGTTTTAGTCCATCACTTGTTCTAATATGCTTGCTTTTTTTTTTTTACTGGAATTGAACAGTGTGATGGATTAGTCACTCACCACATTCCCAATGTAGGAAGAAAGGACCTTTTCTTAAGGCAGATAATTCCAGTCTCTGTCTTCTAGAAGTCTAGGCACCAGGGCTGTACAAGTTCCCTTACTCAGTGTCCTCATGATGTAGCTGGAGAGATACCACTTCTCAGGTGTAGCACACAATCATTACCATGTTCAGAGCAAGTATGGGAAAGGAGACCCAGTGGTTCTCAAATTTGTAATACTAAACAATCACCTGGGAAGCTTCTCATATGTATCACACCTTAGAGAGTTTGATTTAATAGACAAGGTTGGCTCTGAGAATATGAATTTTTAGCAGGTACTCCCATTAATGAAGAGTAATGTCATTGTCTCTACAGTATGGAGATGCCTTTTACAAAGGTGATTTAGTCAAGTTGGACATCTTGGTTTAACTTGGAAGCCTAGTAGTTTCATGCATTCATTTTTCACACTTTCATTTCATTTTAGAAACATTATTGAATTGCTAAAAGAGAATTAGACCCAAGTCTTCTGGGTCTATACGGATACTAACCTCTACTGATAGCAGGCACTGGAGGCCAAGAAACTAACCAAGATCCTAGGTAGCTTTTGGACTTAGGATGCTCATCCAAAAGGGTGGCAAATTGACCTTACAAGTAGCTTTGTAAACGGATACCTCCTCCATTTTGTTCCATTGACCTCATACCACTTGACAAGTTGTGTTTACACCATACTGCTCCTGGCATGCCTTGCTCTTGAGAGAGTGCATAAATTCCTTTGAGGGGATTCAAAGCTTCTTCATGGCTTGATCTAATCCATATTTTCCCACACATCTATGTTTCCTCTCTCAAGAAGCACCTTATTCTCACTACTCCTGAATTTATCCTTCAAATTCAATTTCCCTCGTATTTTTCCAGGCTGGAATGCTTCCCTAGTTCTCGAGTTTCCACGCTTTATTAAGAAACTTACTTTGGTCTCTCTGTTGTTAGTTATTAATTATATTGAACCACACACTGAGAACCAGACTGGAGCATTAGTTAATTTTCATCTGTTCTGCCTTCCCTTGACATATGCACAGTGCCTAGCAGGCCACCTTCCATGTATATTGACTATTTTTTCCGACTTGACATGGGAAGGGCAAAACAGTCTTTCTATTAACATTATGAGCAAAGCTTGCTTACTGCTTGGGTCACTATTATTTAATGGCTTGCTATCTTCCAAGAACTCTATAGGTCTTAAGGTCGGTTATCCAGGAAAAAACAGCTTATGGGTCAAGGCGTACTTTAGTGAGAAAACTATATATTTACTAGTTGCTACATTTCTCACCATCATTGCTATCTCCTCCACCCCCCACACCCACCCCGAGCCAGGCAGGACAACTGTGAAAACTGAATAAACCTGGAAAGATACAGGGCTGTGATCACTACAGTCATCGCTTATTTCTTAGTGTGAAGCTGGATAAATTGAGCTGGAAGAGAATAAATCACACTCTCCAACCAGTGTTCCTCCTGCTTTTTTAGTAACAGTTCTTCCCCATTATTTTTATTAAAGCCTCACTTGTCTGAGGAGAGAACACCTGACCTTAAACATTCTATTCTGGGCTCATTTGGAAATGTTTCTTGTAATCATAATATCACCAATTACCAGAAAAACTAGTGTGATCAATGCATGATGGCCAGACATTGCTGTCTGTTATAGAAATGGTACCCATCACTCAAAGTGGTAGATGGATAGCTGGTATTTCAGAATGTCTGTAGTATATTGTGAGTACCTGGTGAAAATGAAGGACATTTATTTCTACCTGCTGTTTCTGCTCTTCTCTGAAACATACTATCTAGTAGGTTATTGTCATGATCACTTGTTTCTTTATCTCTTACAGTATCGAGATGCCCTTTACAAGTTCATGGTAGACACAGCTGTGCTTTTAGGAGCTAACAGTTCCCGAGCTGAGCATGACATGAAGTCAGTGATTAGATTGGAAATGAAGATAGCCGAGGTAAGTCTTCATTGAAAATAATCTTTGTATCCTTTCATTTGTCTTTTTCTTCTTTTAAAAGCAACATATCCGGGGCTGGGAAGGTGGCTTAGTGGTAGAGCGCTTGCTTTGCATGCATGAGGCCCTGGGTTCGATTCTTCAGCACCACAGAAGAAGAAAAAAAAAAGCCGGAAGTGGCGCTGTGGCTCAAGTGGTGGAATGCTAGCTTTAAGCTGAATCGCTGAGGGACAGTGCCCAGGCCCAGAGTTCAGGCCCCACAACTGGACCCCCCCCCCCCCGCCCGAAAAAAAGCAATATATCCTGAATGAAGGTACAAAGTGTAACTAAACAAGAACCTTCTGTGTTGCTACTCTTTGGGCTCAAGGTAGAATAGCATCTCCATTGGGAAGTAACAAGAAGAGCTCTTCAGCTAAGTGCTGGTGCCTCATGTCTGTAACCCTAGCTGTTCTGGAGGCTGAGATCTGAGTATCAAAGTTCAAAGCTAGCCTAGGCAGAAAACTCTGAGGGACTCCATCCCCAAAACAGTTAGCAGAAATATGGCCTGGAGACATGGCTCAAATGGTTGTGTACCAGCCATGAACAAGGAAGTTGAGCAAGCACAAGGCCCTGATTTCAAACCCTGGTACTGGCAAAAAGAGGAAGAAAGAAAGGAAGGAAAAGAGAGAGGGGAGGAGGCCTTTTATTCCTCAAATTCCTTGGTCTTAGCTTATTTAATGTTTGTACAGCAAAGTGATATTCTGTTTTTCTAGAGAAACTCTTGTATGGCTTAAATAGAATGCAGAAGATAATTGATTTGATTCAATGGAAGGTTGCTTTTTTTGCTTTGCTTTGCTTTACTCTGTGTGTGTGTGTGTGTGTGTGTGTGTGTGTGTGTGTGTGTGTGTGTGCACGCGTACATTCCTGGGATCATATTCAGAGCCTTACATAGGCTAAGAATATGCTATACCACTGAGCTATACCCCTGGCCCTACAACATTACTTTTAATTGAGTCTGCTTTTAATACCATTCCCAAGAGTGAGTCAGATTAAGATCTGGACTGGGGAAGTATGTCTGCCAATACTGGACATAAAAACTGATGTAGAAGTATATAAGGCATGCTGGCGAGCATTTTAAAACTTCCTTTCTGGTGCTATTTTACATCTATCCTTCTTTTTCATTCCTTTCTTCTTCCACTGTAATGAATGTCATTGTGTCATGTATCCTGAATGAGTCACCTTAAAGCTTTGTAGGCTCATAGTATAGACACAAAGATATGAAACAAATGTATGAGAATAATGAGAAATCCCAAGGGGTTAGCATTCAGTTTATAGAATACCCTTTTTTCCCTAGAAGAAACAATGTAAAAGCCCTAAATGTTCCAAGACCCAGAATGAACCATTATAGAAACCTTGTAATGAAATAAAAGTACTTGTATCAAGTAGATTTGCAGCTAGTTGCCAATGGCTCACATCTTGTGATTCTGACCACTTTGGAGACTGAGCATGGGAGGAAGATTGCTATTTGAGGTCAGTCCAAGTAGAAAAGGTGGTGATACCTTCTTCCAACCCATAGCTGGATGGAGTGATGTGTACCTGCTGTTCCATGCTGTCTGGAATGCTGGGATCAGGAGAATCCAAGTTCCAGGCCAGATGAAACTCCATCTCCATGGAGGAAAGCTGGATGTAGTGGCATGTGCTTGTCATCCCGGCAGTGATGGGAAGCCTAAAATAGGTGGATGAGAGTTCAGGCATGTGCCTAGGCCTTAAGAGAGGCTCTATCTTAACAGTACTCTGCAAAAACTACGTGTCAGTGGCTCACCCCTATAATCCTAGCTACTCAGGAAGCTGAGATCTGAGGATTGCAATTTAAAGCCAGCCCTGGTAGGAAAGTCTGTGAGGCTTTTATCTCCAATAAACTACTGAAAAAAAAATCTGGAAGTGGCACTGTGGCTCAAGCGGTAGAGCACTAGCATTGAGCAAAAGAAGCTCAAGGACAGTGCTCAGGATCTGAGTTCAAGCCCCAGGATCAGCACACACCATACCACATGCACACAAACAGCAAAAAGCAGTGCTAGAGGCCCGGCTTAACAATAGACTCCTTGCGTAGGAAGTGCAAGGTCCTGAGTTCAAACCCCAGTGGGGGGGGGGGTGTGAAGGGGAAGGCGAATTAGAGTCCATGTGCTTATTGCTTTTTTTGCATGTCAAGGTGGGATTGTATGTTGAAGAGTGGAGTAGAAATGAAGGATTAAGGTTGGGCAATGAAACTCTGTTCCTGCTGTGGTGAAGTTCATGGCTATTTCTCTGAAATGTTCTGTGTTTTGAATTCTGCAAAGGTGTCTCCCAGCCATTTCTACAAGCTATCTGGATTCACTTCCCTGGCAAATAGAAGGCCCAGTGCTCTCATTTGGACCAAAACTGTGATACAGAAAGACCATGCCCTGTGTCAGGGAGTTGGACCAAAAAGGGAACTAAAAACAGCTGGGCTGAGGCAACACTAGGAATTGTCAAGAGGCTAGATGAAGTGACAAATGCAGTGTGTGGAGGGAAGTAGCTGGCAGCGAGCTGAGAACAGCTCGGAGGCCAGAGGATTCCAAGGCCATACGCCTGACTTAGGGAGGAGGAGGAAAGGACTTGTGGATTTTGTCCTTGGCAAGGATTCAGATGCAGCCAGGGAACTGGGTGGTGCATGTGGCCTTACCTGTGGAAAGGTGAGGGGGAGAAGAAGCTAAGGGCATTGAAGTGTTTACAGAACAGGGGACAAGTGTCTGCTTCACAGCCCTCTGTGGATTTGGAAAATCCATGGTGTGTGGACTTCAGGCTTTGGAGGAATGCTCCCCTCCTCATCTACTTCAGTTCACTAAGGACATGCAAAATGAGTAGGATACTCAGTCTTAGGTCCACCTCTGAGGCTAAGCAGACAGAACAGCCCCGCCAAATTCAAAGACGTCCTTGGCAAAACACCATGGGAGTGTGCCAACTAATTCCACCCAGAGAGACTGTACACAAGGAGAGATCTCTGTCCACTGCGTTGCCCTTGTGATAAGAACCAAGTAGACTTTAATTGAAAGGCCTGCTAGAGAAAATGAATTGTGGGCAAAGTCTTAAATCATAGTTTGGACCATGGAGGTAGTGATAGCTATACCCAATTTTTTTTTTCTTTTGTCAGATGTGGGGCCTGGGCACACTGTCCCTGAGCACTTTTTGCTCAAGGCTAGCACTCTACCACTTTGAGCCACAGCTCCATTTCTGGTTTTTAGGGTTAATTGGGGATGAGTCTCACAGACTTTCCTGCCTGGGCTGGCTTTGAACTATAATCCTCAGATCTCAGCCTCCTGAGTAGCTAGGATTTCAGGCAAGAGCCACCAGTGTCCAGCTTAGCCATTGTTTTTACATCAGGTTGAACGTGGTAGAGTCTACAAGCCTAGATTTGGTGTTGGTCAAATGGCTAAGATCAAGAGTATTGAGAATAGAAAGAACGTGAAGGATCAGGGCAGAAGTACAGGTTCTGAAATATGTGTCTAGATGGTAACTGAATCCATATCCCCATCAGTGGAATGAAGGAAAGCTCGAGACCAAAGCAACAAGAGGTGAAGTGAAGGAATGAGCTATTGACAAAATGATCATGGGTAGTATCCATACAGCCAGGGGTCATGGCTGAAAATTTGCCCCTAGAGATGAAGGGATGAGCTGCGGTTCATAAAATGGTGAGATCATTATTTGGAGACCACAGGTAAAAGTGAAATAGTTGCCTGTTATCCAACTTTAGCTTGGCTGTCAAATTTGAGCTAGGAATAGACTTTCCATCCATACGATAGAGGAAGAGGGGATTCTGGAAAGATCTTTATGCACTGGAGACAGTATTTCACACTGAATAACCCAAGTAATTTTCTTTTTTACTTCCTTCATCTGGTCTAAAATTCTGTCACTTCTCCGTTCTTCCCCTCAGCTGGGCACCGGTCTGAAAAAACTTTATAATACTAAACAGATGTTTTGGCACATGTATAAAGTAGTCATGCGGTAAGAAATGATTCATTTGAAAGTAATAACTCAAGTGTCTTTCTGACAGATAATGATTCCCCATGAAAACCGAACCAGTGAGGCGATGTATAACAAAATGAACATCTCTGAACTCAGTGCTATGATTCCTCAGGTTAGTGAAAACGACTCAGGAAAACTCTGGTACCTGGTCGTGATACAAGTGATGGTATAATCCCTCAGGTTAGTGAAAACTATTCAGCAAAACTTCTTGTATCTGGTCATTTTACAAGGGATGGTATTTATCCATATGTAAACTTTTGCCTTGTAAAACCTACTCTCAGTCTTTTCAGTTATCCTGATCTTTGTCAACTATCACATAAAATATCCCTTGTGTTGTCAGGCGCCAGTGGCTCACACCTGTAATCCTAGCTAGTCAGGAGGCTGAGATCTGAGCATTGAGATTCAAAGCCAGCTGGGGCAGGAAAGTGTGTGAGACTTTTATCTCCAATTAATCACCAATTAAGCTGGAAATGGGGGTGTGACTCATGTAGTAGAGGGCTAAACCTGAGCAAAAAAAAACTTAGGGACAGCCCACAGGCATTAAGTTCAAGCCCTAGAAGTGACACACACACACACACACACACACACACACACACACACACACACACACACACACACAAATATCCATTGTGTATGTATCCAGATCCCTTATGTTAGAAGCCACATAAAAATCATAGCAATAGTAGCTTGAAAACTTAAGATACATTTTTTAGCAATGTAAGTTTGGGCACAACTGATAGTTGATTCAGTTGCAATGTAATGCACTCTCCTTAATGTACTGGCTTTTGGCTTTTATGTTTAAATACTAATATTGCATAGTGACTACCATAGCTCCATCCATTACATCTGCACTCAGGACAGGAAGAAGGAAGGCAGATGCTCTGGAATATCCCTGCATGGCTCCCTTTTCTTTGTCACTGAGTGGAGTGGGGTCACGTGGCCATGTCTAATGACAGCAGGAAGGGTTAGGCACTGGGCACATAAGTAGCTGGTTGTCCATGTCAGCAGTGAAGGCAGACAAGGGAGAAAAGGCTGGGAAGTGGCTTTTAGCATAGCCAATCTGAAACACCAAACAGTGCTTTGAAGAATGGAGGTGTGTTCCTTTCTGTTCCTGCTCATTTCCTCCTGAGTTAAGAAGGGCTGTGCCAAGGAGGAGATGCACCTGTACTTGTGGGTGTACAGGAGTGAGGGAGACTACAGCATAGAGGGAGGGAGAATGTGGACAGAGCAAGACTTGAGGGGATGGTGGGAGGATGCAACCATGGAGCCCAGAGAGGAAGATGGAGGGAGGATGGAGGAGGGGAATTCAAATGAGGGGGATGGGTGGAGCATCAGAAGGAACCTGGTATGTATTGCCTTGTGAGCAGACTTACTGTTTATATTTTCATGGTACAGACTGTAGGCTTCACCTGTGATTAAGGCCTCAGGTCAGAGTAGCAATGATCAGATTTTTTTTTTTCTGGATAAAGTAAATGATGGGCAGTTATGTCTTCCACTATTTGGGTGAAACAATAAGAATGGATTTTGCTCAGCCTGCTCTGTTACTTTTCTTTTTCTTTTTTTCTTTTACTTTTTTGGCTAATAAAGGTCTTCACTGTTTTATTTTCTCTCCTTTTAGTTTGACTGGCTGGGCTACATCAAGAAGGTCATTGACGTCAGATTGTATCCTCACCTGAAAGACATTGGACCCTCAGAGAATGTGGTGGTCCGCGTCCCACAATACTTCAAAGATTTATTTAGAATATTAGGCTCTGAAAGGAAGAAGTAAGAATTTTCATGTACATTTTACTGTGGCTATTGTTTGCTCTTCTCATGTCCTTTGGATATTGCTTTGTTGGGGAGTAGATAGAACTGGGATTTGAACTTAGAGCCTTGAACTTGCTGGACAGGGGCTATACCATTGAACCATGCTAACCAGCCATTTTTATGTTAGGTTTCTTTTCTTTCTTTCTTTCTTTCTTTCTTTCTTTCTTTCTTTCTTTCTTTCTTTCTTTCTTTCTTTCTTTCTTTCTTTCTTTCTTTCTTTCTTGTCAGTCATGGGGCTTGAACTCTGGACCTCGTCCCTCAGCTCTTCACCTCAAGGTGAGCGCTCTACCACTTGAGTCACAGTGCCACTTCCTAGTTTGTTTTTAGATAGAGTCTTGAGCTTTTTGCCTGGTCTGGCCTTAGTTATTTTCTTACCATTGCCTCCAATGTAGCTGGGACCATAGGTATGTACTACTGTGCTGAGCCTGAGAATTGATTTTTTTTTTTTTTACCAGTCTAGGTCTTGAACTCAGGGCTGGGATACTGTCCCTGAGCTTTTGTGCTCATGGCTAGTGCTCTACCACTTGAGCTACAACTCCATTTCTGGCTTTTTTGGTGTGTGATTAACTGGAGATAAGAATCTTATAGACTTTCCTGCCCAAGCTGGCTTTGAACTGTGATCCCCAGATCTCAGCTTCCTGAGTAGCTGGAATTACAGGCATTAACCAACAGTGCCTGGCTGAAAATTGCTTTTAAACAAAATTACAAGTCACAGGAAAAATCAAAGTACCTTCTAACAAATTGGCCCAAACCAAATCTGGTGTAATTTCTTTGGTGTGATAACACCAAATGCACAAAGTTTTTACCCCTTGTTTCTGGTCTTTGTCTATACTGTTCTCTCCAAGACCCTAAATTGTTTATTAATTTTGAGACTAGTTATGTAACAATGTTATTTCTTGGGATATCTTTAGGAATTCCTATTTTTTTCCAGTTCATTCTTGGTCTTTTGTTGTTTTTCCTCTGGTTTCTTTTTAGTTAGAAAATCACTTTTTGGCAATAAACCAAAGTACCTAGGCTGAGAAGACATAAGACCATTTTGAGAGCTACAGAAAAATTACACTGCCAGCTTTTGCTTATTTCAAAGAATGTTTTAGAATTTGTAGTTTTGCTAGTTCAGTACCACAAAGGAAAAAAAAAACATGCTAAACATGCCCAGGAAAAATACACTGACATGTTTATTTAGCCATTCAGATTTGACTACAGAAAACAACCACAGAAATGTAAGTAAGGTTACATCCCCGCCCCTCCAAATAACTAATCTAATTATGAGACCGTGATTAAAAATTTACATATTCTTATTTAGACTCTAGTTATCTTACTAGAAGTTTTATGACAGAAAAACTTAGAAAAGTCCTAGAATTAAAATGTAACATCTGATTCCCCTCCCTCTACCACGAAGTGCTTGGTTCCCCTAAAGACTTGCTGCTTTTTCTTTTTCTTTTCTTTTTTTGTCCTGGGTTTGAATTCAGATACTCATGCTTTGCTCAACCTCTTTACTTATGCCTGGCAATTTACCACTTGAGCCATACCTGCAGTTCAAGTTTTTGCCAGTTAGTTGGAGATGGAATCTTGTGGACTTTTGAGTTCATCCATGTTCCTGGGCTTTTCTTTCTTTCTTTCTTTTTGTTGGTTGTGGGGCCTGAACTCTGGGCCTGGGTGCTGTCCCTCAGCTCTTCAGCTCAAGGCTAGTGCTCTACCACTTGAGCCACAGCACCACTTCTGGCTTTTTCTGCTTATGTGGTGCTGAGGAATCAAACCCAAAGCCTCATGTATGCAAGGCAAGCACTCTACCACTGAGCCACCTTCCCAGCCCCTCTTATGGACTTTTGTACCTGGGTTGGCTGCAAACTATGACCGTTCAGATCTCAGCTGCCTGAGTAGCAAGAATTGCAGATATGAGCCACCTATATCTTGTACTTCTGCTTTTAAAACATCTGATGAAGAAAATAATTTATGTTCAGACAAGGGAGAAAGAAACAGACTTTGTTTTCTCTTTTGTCTGACATGGGGTTTGAACTCAGGGCCTGGGTGCTGTCTCTGAGCTCTTTTGCACAAGGATAGCACTTTACCACTTTGAGCATACTGCCACTGCCAGGTTTCTGGTGGTTTATTGGAGATAAGAATCTCACGGACTTTCCTGTCCAGTTTGGCATCAAACCATCAGCCTCAGATCTTAGCCTCCAGAGTAGCTAGGATTATAGGCATGAGCCACCAGTGCCTAGCTAGATTTGCTTTTCAACTTCAATGTTTCTTTGAAGCTTTTCTAGATGGAAATCAACTCTAACAGGAGAAAGTGCACAAGTAAGCTACTTGGGCCTGTGATGGCAATACATCTCCCTGAGCCCTCATTGAAATACATTCCAAGGGCCTCGTCCATATAGTCTGATAAATAGAACTGGGAGAGTCCTGGGAATATGGATTTTATTTATTGTTATTCTCTTTCCTTGATCATATGGGAACCTGGATTTTAAATATTCTCCTGAAAAAGATTTAAGATTAGCTTTCTGGGGATGGGGGTGGGGAGATTGGGGTAACAGCTTTATGAATCTATTTTGTGAGCATTCCTAGCTCTGAAATATAGGATGAGTATCCTTTTTCTGAAGTACTTAGATCTAGAACCATTTTGGGTTTCAGATATAATTTTCTGTTTGGGGTATATTCGCATATACACAGTGAGATACTGTGGGGATTGGACTCAAGTCCCAACTCAGAACTCAATTATTTTTCACATATATCTTATACAGACAGCCTAATGATAATCTGTACAGTATTTTATTTTATTTATTATTATTTTTTTGTGTCTTGGGGCTTGAAGTCAGGGTCTGGGTGTTATCCTTGATCTTTTTTGCTTAAGGCTGGTGCTCTACTACTTGGGCCATAGTTCTACTTCTGGTTTTTCGGTGGTTAATTGTAGGTAGGAATCTCATGGGCTTTCCTGCCTAGGCTGGCTTTGAACCATGATCCTCAGATCTCAGCCTCCTGAATAGCTAGGATTACAGGTGTGAGCCACCAGCACCTGGCCGAATTCTGTCTTGTTCTATGAGATTTCAACACACTGTGTCTTGAAAAACTTCACAACACTTTGTATATCACATTCCTTCCCCTCCCTTTCCTCTTTCCCTCCATCCTTCCCTCTCTCCCTTCATTGCTGGTGGCAGAATCCAGGGCCTTGATGTGCTGAATATACTCCATGACTGAACTGTACTTCCAATCTTTGTTGATCCTTTAGTCATCATTCATGCAGTCTTATAAGACTAATTAAGGGTCCTCATAGTTATTTTATTAGTGAATATATGCCCCTTGCTATAACAAGTGCCTCTATATAGTCTCATGAGCTTGCACAGTAAAAACTGTACCTCTGCTCATGGAACAGTCCAACCCTGGCGTTACTATAAGACAGATTTCTTCCAAGCAGTGACTTAGGAGCTCAGGATCCTTCCATTATGTGACTACTAACTGTAGGGGAGGCTGGGAAGTAGAGTATAGCTGTGTACCTGGAGAAAAAGGAGTTGAACTTTCCATGGTTATGCTTCTATCAATGAACTCACTTCTACTGGGCGCTGGTGGCACACACCTGTAATCCTAGCTACTTAGGAGGCTGAGATCTGAGGATCGAGGTTCAAAACCAGCCTGGGCAGCAAAGTTTGAGAGCCTTATCTCCAATTAACCCACAGAATACCAGAATGGGATCTGTGGCACATACTGGTAGAGCACTGGCCTTGAGCACTCAGGGCTAGTGCACAGGTCCTGAGTTCAATCCCTGTGACCAACCAAAAGCGAAAAGAAAAGAAAAGAACTCACTTCCTTTTCCTGAAATGACCACTCTTCTTTCAATTCTTTCAGGATACAATGGGCACCTGATGGCAAGCCCTTTTGTAACTGCTTTTGTAACTTCAAGGTCCAACTCAGTGCTTCCCACACAGTAGACACTTGAAATTGTCTAGAAGTTAACCAGATGCTTTATCACCACCATCAAGGAAGTGACATATGGACAGAACCCCAAAGTAGCACTTTTCCAGATCCTGGAGAGGGGAAAAGGGATGACTGAACATCTCATGTGGTAGGAAGAACATGAATCCAGATGTTCCCTTTGAGGCAGAAGGCTAGAGAGCTAAGGGACTATAACAGGCTGAGGATGTGTACACAAATTCAATATATTGTTCTCAGCATCCTCTGCCCTCCTCTCTGGAGGAATGCCACCCAAGTCTCCTGTGGGTGTGTCTGTCAAACCTAGAATCTGCTGGTAAAAATCCTTCACACAACACAATGATATTACCCTCCATTAAGATAACTGGTTATCTTTGATTTTTGTAGCAGCTGTATATGTTCCTATTTTGCACAGCTCTGGACAGTATCAGAATCCCATGGAGAGCTTGCTAAACCTTAGGATGTTGAGCCCCATCTCCACAATTTCTAATTTAGTAGGTATGAGGAGAAAAACAGCAAGTTTCTACTAAGTTTTCAGGTGGTGTTGAAGCTGCTGGGTCAGGGACACATTTTGAGAACAGATTGTTTTGGCAGCCTATATGATTTAGAAAGAGCCGTTAGGTTTTGAGACCATTTGAGAAGAACCTCTTGGACCTATTTGCCATTGTATGATTGGGAGGAGTAAAACTGACTTTGAATCTGAAGACTTCAATGTTACTACTGGATTGAAAATCTTCCTTGCTAGTCTTCTGATCTCTGTTTGTTCCATCTGAAAATGGGATTATGTAATAACCATCTACTATCCTGTGATAAAGGTCAAAGAAAGTATTTTATACCAGAAACCAGTGGCTCATTCATGCCTATAATCCTAGTTACCCAGCAGGATGTAATGTGAAGATCACAATTTTTTTTCTCAGCAAGCTCAGACAAGAAAGTCCATGACTCTTTATCGTCAATTAACCATCAAAAATCTAGAATTAGAGGTGTGGCTCAAATGGTAGAGTGCTAGCCTTCAATAAAAAAGCTCAGGGAAGGGCTAGGAATGTGGCTTAGTGGTAGAGTGTTTGCCTAGCAGGCATGAAGCCCTGGGTTTATACCCAGGGTTGTACCCTGGGTTTGTACCAGTACCACATAAACAGAAAAAGCCAGAAGTGGTGCTGTGGCTCAAGTGGTAGAGTGCTAGCCTTGAGCAAAAAGAAGCTCAAGGACAGTGCTCAGGTCCTGAGTTCAAGCTCCAGTACTGGCAAAAAAAAAAAAAAAACCCCACAGGGATGCTACCCAAGCTCTGAGTTAAAACCCTAGGACCATCACAAGAAAAAAAAGATATATTATGATCTGGTAAATGTAATGTACATGTAAACTAATAGAGAATGTAAGCTAATAGAGAAGACAAGGTCCCAAAAGTTTCTTGCGAAAACCCCATATATTCCAAGTCACAGGTTTTACAGAAGGATTTCATATTGCTTTCTCAGTGGTGGGCTCTCTTCTCAGATGCTTTGCTTTTCTCTACTTTATTTATTGCCACTTGGGGAAATTACCATACTGCTGAAAATGCTTTTTTTTGGGTAAAAAAAGCTATTATGTGTTATTTTCAAGGACTGTTGCTGAGTCTGAATTTTGTTTGTTTGAGTTTTTTTATGTATCTTAGCATTAGGTGGCAGTGATTCAGTCATTATGGTCATCTCCGTTCCTGGCGTGGTGATATTAGCACTCCTTAGCTGTGCTCCAGCACAATCTGTCAGCATATTTGTAACACACTGGAACAAGTCATCAGTGCCATTGTCTTCCAGATCTCAGAGATCTTCCTGTCACACCATCATCTTAGTCATTCCTTAGCCAGGAAGACCTCACTGTTTTCTTCCGGTGCCCACAGATTTCTGTGAATCACTTTTGTTGGAGTGTTTTTATGGTCCTTATGGATGGTTAAGAAATTATAGCTGTGTTCTAAATTGGCACTCATCACTCTGTGGTGTAGGGCAAAGCTCTGCTCTGGCTTCCATGTTTATTACCTTGATTCTCTGAGTTGGCTATGCATGGAGCTTAGTGGGGATATCGTTAGTTAAAGCAGTATTTGTGCTAGGTCCTGCACTTGAGAATGGGATTTAATAGGTCTAAGATAGCCTGAGCCTCTGGACTTTAAAAAAAAAAAAACAGACCTCCCCAGAGCTGGGCACTGGTGGCTCACACCTATAATCCTAGCTACTCAAGAGGATGAGATCTGAGGATTGCACTTCAAAGCCATCCTGGGCAGGAAAGTCCATGAGACTCTTATCTCCAAGAAACCAATGAGAGAAAGCTGGAAGTGGTATTGTGGCTCAAGTGGTAGAGTGCTAGCCTTCAACGAAAGGAGCTTAGGGACAGTGCTCAAGCCCTGAGATGAAGTCGTAGGACTGAAAAACCAACCAACCATCCAACTAACCAACCAACCAAAAAACTTCCCAGATGATTGTACTGGTTAAAGACCTCTTGATGATAGGATGTGTTTACTTAATGGTTGTAAGCCTCAATTATTTATGTGCTCAGATCATCTTCCTTACTCTGTTAAAAGCTTTAGGAGATCACAGTCTATCTTTCTTACCTCTCTATCTTCCTAGCACCTAGAACCCTTGGTATATATCTGGGTGCCAATGAAAGAAGGGTCTCTTATCTACTTATAGTCTCTTCTTCTAGTAAATAATTACATTTATAAAAAACAAGCCAAAATCTTTAGTTCTTTAACTATAGACACAAGATGTTCATGTATTTATATTCCGTATAGATCCTGGTACCAGGAATAGTAAGTGCTCAGTGAAGATGTCTTATTCAGAAGTAGGGATGGCCATAGACCCCCATTAGGTCCTAATGGCACACACGAGGGGGGTACTTGTCATGGCCATTGGTTGGTTTTCATTTGATATATTCAAAAGAAGCTTTAGCCATTTGCCAATATGACTAGATTTATGGATTTTATTATCTAGTTTAATTTAATTCTCATAACATGGACAGGTGGCTTAAGATTTCTTGGAGGGAAATATGAAATGAAGCTCTTCCTAATGATGTAAGCGCAAGTGAATGGCAAGGAAATGACAGTAGTGACTCTTCTCTCCCACACATCATAGTTAGCCAGATGACAAGGGAAAAACAATGATGACTTAACCAGATCTAAAGCTATATCAGATATGTTTTAAATAGGAACATTTTATGAAATACTGATTTACATCTTAACCTAACCCTATGTGGATAATGTATCTTAAAGTATGGACATAATGTTATTTGAAAGATTAATTCATGACATTTGAAAAATAGTTATTTCATCATAAAATTTCCATTTCTGTATTTATGAAAAATATTCCTGGAAGCTGGAATCCAATGGCTTATAGGTATGAGGTATAATCCTCATAGGTATAATCCTGGCTACGTAGGAGGCTGAGATCTGAGAATCATGATTTGAAGCTGAAATGAGCAGACAAGTCTGAGGCACTCATTGCAAATGAACTAGAGAAAAGCTGAAAGTGGAGGCCTGACTCAAGTGGTAGAGTGCTAGTCATGAGTGAAAGAGCCAAGCAAGAGCCCTGAGTTCAAGCCCTACTGTCAGCCGAGAGAGAGAGAGAGAGAGAGAGAGAGAGAGAGAGAGAGAGAGAGAGAGAGAGAGAGATGCACATACACACAATATCCCCAGAGAGAGAAAGAGAGAGAGAGAGAGAGAGAGACAGAGATGCACATACACACAATATCCCCAGAGATTGGTCTGGTAGGGCACAGACACATCTGTAATCTCAGCACTTGGGAGGTGAAGGCAAGAGAATCGTAGGTTCAAGGCCAAACTAGGCCAATCATGAGACCTTGTTTCAAAAATGAATCCTAGTGTATTAATATAAATTATATAAATTGAAATAAACATCCATATCCTGGTATCTATACTGAAGTATATTTTTTTCTCATTGGAGTCTCTGTCTACTGTAGTAGATTGCCACGCAAATGTGAGTGTGGCTCGCTATTGATAGGCTGCTTAGCATCATCATGTCACACTGTTATCCCATTTCTGGTTGACCTAAGAGGTACCTTAGGAATGTGTGTGATTAGGCACCATAGTAATGGCCCAGCTGGGAGGGATGGCTCATTAAAAACCCATCATCACTATTGAGTTAGAAATTAACTCAGATCACACATCTTTTGGAGGCCAGAGCATCTTTCGCTTATAGAAAAAAGGCAACATTTAACATGAAACAGATTTTGGGAAATACGTACCATGGAAATTACAGGAGCCTATGACATTGTTTTCATGCTTGGAAGTAAATAACCGCAACAACTTAGGAATTGTAATCTTTGTCAGTCTTTTGTTATTTATTTTAACTTCACAATAACCTATTGCATTATGAGGAAAGACAAATCAGAGAGCTTGAGTACTTTGCCTGAGCTGACTTATTTAATAAGGATCGATCAAGGTGCAAATCTACATGAGTGATATTAGTTAATACTTTTAGTTTTGGAAGGCAAATATCATAGAACCATTGCATCTGGTCATCTATCTTTGGAAGGCATTTGCATTTGCAGACATGGAAGGTGAGCCAATAGCAGACTCTTTGCTGAGAGGGAAAGCAAGATGCTTGCGCTTAGGTCTGAGGCCATAATCTCTGTTTCATCTAGTTGTAGTAGGTAGTGAAAAACAAGTCGATTTTGGTTGTACTTATTGACATTGTATCATCTGAGGTGATTCTTCAAGCAGAGAGCCCTGCATTTTTGTATGAATAAGTGGACTCTCTATGGAACTTTGCCAACAGTTCTGAAGGTGTTCTGCAGAGTATCAGCTATTGACCTAAAATACAATAAATGTCCTTCTCCCTCTGTTAACAGGACCATTGCCAACTATTTGGTATGGAGAATGGTTTATTCCAGAATTCCAAATCTTAGCAGGCGCTTTCAATATAGATGGTTGGAATTCTCACGGGTAAGTTTGAGAGTATAATGTTACATCACTGGATAATTTTACATGCTAAACAGTCTGCATATTAAGTAATCTAATATAAATCATCTTAAGCATGGAACACAGGTAGTTTGCAGCCCAAGTTCTACTTTCATTTATTTTTTCTTTATTTCTTTTAATCCAGATATAGTTGATATATAGTGAAACTACCCTCAAACTCTACTTTGGGACTATATAGTGAAATTTAGGTCAATACTAAGGATCATGGCATTGGTTTTAAACTCTTCCCCTGTTGACAACTTATTTCCATTTTCTCCCATTTTTTTTAACAGAGGTCACTACAATTACAGTTTTAACATTCCTTTATAATACCTTTTAAAAAGAAGTTACAGTATGCTTCTTTAATTTTTCATTGACAAATAATAAGTTTGATAGTTGTATATGTTTAAGGGCATCTAATGTGATATTTGGACACACACACATATACACACATATCTCCAATGAAATGTTTGGATACACACACACACACACACACACACACACACACACATATCTTATGGAGAGATTCAATACTGCCTCACTAATGTACCATTTTCTTGTGCTGAGAATGTTAAAACTCTATTTTAGCAAATATAAATTGTGTAATGCAATTATCATCAACTATGGTCAGATATATGTAGAATCTAAAAAAGCTGATTTTACAAAAACAGAGAGTAGAAAGATAGCTATCAGAAGATGGGGAGAGGGCAATCCTTCCTTTAAAAAGGACAAGATTTCATTCTGACCGGAGGAATAAGTTTTTGTGATCGATTTTGTAAGTTTTGAAGTGTAGGATTCTGAATATTCAACATGTGTATGATATATGTATTAGATAGCATAAAGGTTCCTTTTAAGCTTGGAGCTAGAGTTCTGTCCTGAACTTAGATCTTCAATCTTGAATTTATCCTAATTCTGCTAGGCTATGAGGCCTATCACAATTTTGTTTCTTTGTGGATACATCCTTCAAATGATGGCCTGAATGGAATTTCTTTTCCTTCTGTTCCTGGCTCTTGATTCTTTCCTTCTAGCCTACCCTTTCTGCCTCTCAGCTTACACAGATGTTACCTCATATGTATTCATGAGACTTGTATCTGACTAAATCTGCTATCTCTAAAGGACTTAAAAATTTAGTGATTTAAAAAAGTTTTAATTTTCTATTGATTTTTTTTAATGATATTACTAAGGCTTGAACTCAGGGCCTTGCTTTTTCCTTAGATTGCTTTGCTGAAGGCTGGCACATAAGCCACACCTTGACTTGTGGCTTTTTTTGTATGCTGGTACTGGGCTTGAACTCAGGGGCTTGGATGCTGTCCCTAAGCTTTTTGTGCTCAGGGCTAGCACTTGAGCCACAGCTCCACTGCCGCCTTTTTGGTGGTTAATTGGAGATAAGTCTCAAGAACTTTCCTGCCTAGGCTGGCTTTGAACTGCAGTCCTTAGATCTTAGCCTCCTGAGTAGCTAGGATTACAGACATGAGCCACCAGCGGCCTGGCTTTCTACCCATTTAAAGTGAAGTGAATATCAAATCTTATAAGCTCTGATTTCCATTTAACAGACTTTTTAGTTATGAGGGAGGCTGGTAAGTACAGAAATTCTTAGTAGGCCATGATGTTTGCAGAGCAGTGCTGTGTGTGTGTGTGTGTGTGTGTGTGTGTGTGTGTGTGTGTGTGTGTAGCCTGACTCTTTGAAATCATGGAATGTAAAATCATGTTAGAGAGAATAGCATCAAACAGCTACATATATTTAGGTCATATCAAATGGTTAAGATACAAAACAAGTAGGTACTTTCAGTATGAGGGTATTTTTAACTCCTATGGCTCACATAAAAGATGATTCTCCAGCTGCTTTCCACCCCCACTGTGCAGAGAATGAGAGAGAGGGAGAGAGGTGTAAGACATAGTGTGTGAAAATTTGAGGTTAGGTATGAGGGGATATTTCTTGAGCATGAAGTGCTAAATATAATATTGAATTGCCGAAGGATTTCTTTTTCTTGAGGTTTTAAAAATAGATTTGTCCCTTACCCCCGAGATGGGTCGTGTTCCCAGAAAGCAGAAAAAGAAGAGATGAACTTAAACATCTATCTCTTTCATCCTGCTCCAATGTCATGGCTGTAACATGGCATTTCCAGCCATATTTCTCAGAGCCCCCCCCCCCCACCTTCCCACCACTTCATTCCCTGCCTGCTCTCTCAGCCTTTCACGAATGACTTAAACAGTATTTATTCCTCTGCTTTCGTTCTCCAAGAATAAACCTTTGAACCTTCCAAGTCCTGTTTTCGAAGATCCTTGTTTGTAAATGTTTTCTTATAATGGTCTAATGAGGACAGATGGGAAAAGCGTTTACATCTGTATTTTCCTTGTTTACCAGAATGTTCTCTGCTATGACACAATATAAATATGTTCACTGGGTTGTTCATGGTGGGCCGTATTCTTCTGGTCTGCCCTGTTGCTCACCTGTTGATTCTAGACCTTCCCTGATGCAACTTGACTTCTCAATAGATACCAAGTACTACTGTGGACAGTATTCTGTCTTGGGGATGCTGACTGTACAAAAGTTATGCCATGGCCGAGATCCTATGCTTTATGGAAGAAAGTGGAAGAAATGGCAAAACATGTAATTATTGTTTCACTGTCAAAATATTTTCATCTAGGCTTCAATGTAACTAGGGCAAGCATAATTCTTTTCCATCTGATTTCAGCTTTGCCTCTAGTATCTGGGTTGAGGTTTGTTGACTTTTTTCTTCCAGTGGCTTGGAGTATTTCAGCCATACGTTGTATCTTCCACAGGTAATCCAGGGGACCACAACTCTGCTTCCTCAGTGGGACAAATGTGTAAACTTTATCGAAAGTGCCCTTCCTTATGTTGTTGGAAAAATGTTTGTGGACGTCCACTTCCAGGAAGATAAGAAGGAGATGGTAAGTGAAGCTTCCTACTGAATCAAAACAGTGGTAGTCTAGCCAGATCTGGCAAGGATGTAATCAGTCGACTAGAGGATAGGTGTTATCTTTGGTTCCTTCCATTTCTCAGGTAAATAGGAAGAATGGTCAATGCATGTGAAATGGTAGAATTGATTATTGAAGATCAGAGGAAGAGAAGGTATGAAATAGATGTGTAGAGGAGTGGAAGAGGAGCTGAACTGAGGAAATTTAGCATGAATGCTTAGAGACTGGCAAGGTCTAGGTTGAAGTGAGGTTTTAAGGTCACGAATTTATTTTGTGTCACTTAAAAATAAATATATATTATTGTTATTGTGAAGGTGATATACAGAAGGGTTACAGTTACATAAGTTAGGTAATGGGTACATTTCTTTTTGAATAGTGTCACGCCTTCTCTTGGTCTCTCCTAGTTTTCCCCTCCCATCCCCACCCTAAAATTGTGTAGTTCATTTTCAACAAAGTGTCTAGTGACTATCACTGCTGCATTTGTTCATCCTTTGTCCCATCATTTCTATGCCCCCCTTTTTCCTCCCCAAATCAGATAGACTTACAAAGAAGACAAAAAGTAAAGAAAACAAAAGCAGCAACAAAGAAAAAATAACCTCTTGTTTCCATTTCTTGGAATTCATTTCTATAAATATTATTTTACACACATAGTTTTGAGCCTTTGTGATCCTCTCCTAAGAATATCCACCTTTGGTCTCACTATGTGAATGTCTAGAGACCTGTATAACTAACCATGTCCTGGTGTAATTTTTGTCTTTTACCATCCAGTGTGTTTATTTTTGTCAGTTGTGGGGCTTGAACTCAGGGTCTGGGTGCTGTCCCTGAGTTCTTTTACTCCAAGCTAATACTTTACCTTGTTGAGCCACAGCTCCACAGCTCCACTTTTGTTTTTTTGATGGCTAATTCAAAATAATAGTCTCAAGGACTTTCCTACCAGGGCTGGCTTTGAACCTCAATCCTCAGATCTCAGCCTCCTGAGTAGCTAGGATTACAGACACAAGCTACCAACACCTGGCTTTATTTTTATTTTTGAATTTATTTTATTTTTATTTTGGTTTGTGAGACTGGGCTTCATTATGTAGGCTGTGCTGCCTTGAACTCATGTTCCTCTTGCCTCAGAGTCCAGAGATTACAACCATGCCTGGTTGCCTGGAATCTGTGTGTGTGTGTGTGTGTGTGTGTGTGTGTGTGTGTGTGTGTGTGTGTGTATTTTACTGGAGATTGAACCTAAGGCCTTCCATATGCTAACCAAATGATTTACCACAGAGCTACAACCTCAGTCCTGGAAGTCATGAATTTTAAGAGAGACTTGTCACCATGGCAACATATTCTTTTCCATCTGTTTCAGCTATATTGTAGGACAGGGCACATTTTTTTTTCTTCCAGCTTTATTCAGGCGTATTTGCTATCTAAAAATGATGTATATTCAAGGTATACAATGTGAAGATTAGATACATATTGGAAAATGATTATCACAGTCAAATCCACACATCCATCACCACACTTAATCATTTTGTGTTAGTATATAGTAAGGACACTTAGGAAAAATTCAAGTATACACACAATAGTAACTGAAGTCACCATGTTGAATATTGGAACCCCAGAACTTACTCATCTTATAACTAAAAGTTTATATCTGTTGGCTAACATCCCTCCGTTCTCCCTCAGCCCCTGGCAACTACTGCTCTACTCTTTTTTTTTTTTTATAAGTGAACCCTATGGTTTTAGATCCTATATACAAGTGAGATCAAACTCTGTTTGCCTTTTTACATCTGGCATAGTTCCACCATCTGGCATAGTTCCACTTAGCAAAATGTCCTTCAGGTTTTCCTCTGTTGGAAAAGGCAGAATTTCCTTGTATATTAGAGCCAAATAACATCATACTGTGTGTGGAATTCCACTGTGTATGTCACACACATGTGTACATGCACACACACACACAAGTGTGCACACATACAGATGTGCACCAGATTTTCTTTATCCTTTCACTCATTGGTAGTTACATTGATTCCATAGGAACATGGCTACAAAGAATTCATGGAGTTGCATGTCTTTAAGCTATGGATTTCATTTCCTTTGGAAATATAGCCAGTAGAAGGATGATTGGATTAAATGGTAGTCCTATTTATTTATTTACTTATTGTGCTGGTACTAGGGCTTGAACCCTAGGTCTTGCACTCACATTTGACATTTTTGCTCATGACTGGTACTCTATCACCTGAACCAAATTCCATTTCCAGTGTTTTGCTGGTTAATTTGAGGTAAGAGTCTTTTGGCTTTGTCTACCTGTGGTTGGTTTCTAGCTAAGACTCTCAGATCTCAGCCTCTTGAATAGGTAGGGTTATAGACATGCTTGGCTTGGTAGTTCTATTTTTTGTACCAGTCCTGGGGCTTGAATTCAGGGCCTGAGAGTTGCCCCTGAGCTTTTTTGCTCAAGGCTAGTACTCTACCACTTGAGTCATAGCTCCACTTCTGGCTTTTGTTTTGGTGATTAATTGGAGACAAGAGTTCACAGACTTCCTTGTGTTTCTATGGTTTGTTCTGCTCATTCATTGTCCCATCAGTAAGGAAATGGAAAGACTTGGAAAAAATTATATTAAATGAAGTAAATAAAACCCAAGGAAACAGGCTGCATGGTTTCCCTCATTTGTAATAATTAGAATGTGCCTATAAATCTAAAAGTAAACTCAATGGATAGCAAAAGACAAATAAGTAACTTGGACATGATTAATTAAACACACTAAACATTCACACAGTGAGAACAAAGGATGATATTCTTAGGAGAGGATCACAAGGGTTCAATAGGTGTGTGCAATGACCATATAAAATGATGCTTATCAAAATAAACTCCAAGAAATGGAACAAGAGTTTTTTTTTAAAATAAATTGTATTGTTTGCAATTTTTCTTTTCTTTTTCTCTTTTCTTTTGTTTATTCCCTTTTGTCACTGGTTTTGATTTCTGTACCATTTGCCTTGCATATAAGTTTATCTGATTTGCGGAGGGTAAGGAGAAGCACAGAAATGGCGGGACAAAGGGTGAACCAATTCAGCAGCGATACCTGATACCCACTAGACACTATGTTAGAAATGAACAATACAACTTGGGCAGGGAGGGGGTTTAGAAGGGGAAGAGGGGATCAAAATGAGGGAGATTGTAACACTGTTCAAAAAGAAATGTACCCATTACCTGACTTATATAACTGTAACCCCTTTACAATAAAATTAAAAGATAAGAGTCTCACAGACTTTCCTGCTGGGGTTAGCTTCAACCTTGATCCTCAGATCTCTGCCCCATGAGTAGTTAGGATTATAGGTGTGAGCCACTGGTGCCCAGCTTAGTAGTCCTATTTTTAACTATCTGCCACACCCTTTTCTATGATAGCTGTATGGATTAAAAGGCCCACCAATAATGTATAAGAATTCATTCTTTTCTCTTTTTTTTGCACACACTAGCCAACACTTGTAGCTTTTGACTTTTTGACAAGAGCCATCCTAGTAAGTATGAGGTGATATTTCATTGTGGTTTGGATTTGAATTTCCCTGGTGATTATGTCTGCTGGCTATTTGTATGTCTTTAGAAAAACATCTATTCAGGTCTTTTGCACTCTTTTAAATGAGGTATTACGTTTGTTCTTTTTGATACGAAGAGGGAACGTTTTGAATTGTAAATTTGGATTTAGCTAGTGTTTTGTGTGGCTTTTTTGATGAATTTTACTTTTAAAGTGTCATGTAGAAAAACATCCAACTATGACTAATAAAAATCCATGTAAGCAACGAGACACAAATAAGCAAACCCCATGGATGCAAGTAGTTATTGCAAAGACAGAAAGTCTATTAAACCATGATGGCTCAGGTGGTTGATATTATATAGTGACACATAGGTAATAGAGCAAATGATTGGTGTTATATATTATGCACTAGAGTTGATTTTGAAATAATATAAACCTAAATATATTTTCCTGTGTTAGTTTGTTTTTACTGCCTTCAAATACTTTAGAGAGTTTCTGTCAAGTTTGAGACTTTATATTTGAAACAGAAAGTCCTCTTGCAAATACTTCTGCTGAGGAATTAATGACTTGTTTCAAAATACTGAGTATTTTCTCTTGCTCTGTGGTCAGAGTAAATGTATGGAAAGCTTATCAAATAATCACAGTGGTAACATTAAATCCTCTGGGAAGGATATAAATACAATTAAGGGATAATGATGTTTTATAAGCTATATACAGTGAGAGGGTTTTTGGCATTTTATCTAATATGAAAAATACGTGGATTAAATTTGTTGATGCAAAAGTTCCTTTTTCACTTGTCAGGGTGTGACATTCTAAACTAAAGTTGACTTTGGCAAAATTTCCCCTTATTTTATGTGCACAAGGGTATCATGTTAATTACACAGATATTCATCTCTTTTACATAAAATTACTTTGCCTCCCTTGTGCTGAAGCTGTTTGCCTCAGGGAATACTTTAGTTGGAAACTCATAAGAGAAAAATCTGGCTTTTTATAGCCTTGTTACAAGGCTTCCATCCAAGAACCACCTGGAACCACTGATTTACTTGCAAAACATTCCGTATTATTAGCTACAGTCCACAGAAAAAGAAAAACAGAAAGATCCCCAATGGGTCAAATTCCAGAGACAAATTCAGACTGAAAGGCTGCCATTGTTTATTTACCATAAAAGTTTGTTAAGCAAATGGGTATGATCAGAAGGTTAAGCTTAGATTCTTTTCAAACTTTCTGTGTGTACACAAATGACCTGAGGATCTTCTTGTTAAAATGCAGAATCGCATTGCATTTTAACAAGCACCTTTTAAAACTTGGTCTAAGGTAAGGCCCAACTATTTGCCTAACAAGCTCCCAGGTGATGCCGCTGTTGCTGTTCTAGGGACCACACTTAGAGTAAGTGTTGTTCTAATGAGCAAGACCACTTCATTCCCTTATAAATAGAGCGACAAGCCCTGGTGATTCATGGGAGCA